GTTCTGAGTACTTATAGGTACTAGCATTTCACTGAATCCTTGTGGCAACCCTAGAAGGCAAAAACTACTACCATCTCAAACACAGAGAGCTGTGTTAAAGACTATGGACCAAGCTGTGTCCCCCTAGAAGTCTTGTTAGAGTCCTAACCTCTGTCCATTTGGAAATAGGAGTTCTCTTTTGTTATGTTACTAAGGTCATACCAGAGTAGGGTGGATGCTAAGCCTAGTCACTGCTGAGTGGTGTCTTATAAAAAGAGCAGAGAAGACAGAGATGCTGCAGGGGAAGCCAGCCAGGGAGGCCAGGGCAGACCAGGAACTAGGAGAGGACCACAGAAGGCATGGACACAGCAGACTGACTTGTAGTTCTAGCCTCCAGAACTGGGAGGAATACATTTGTTCTTTAAAGACCACCCTTTGTGTTACAGCAGCACAAGGACCCTGAGGCAGGCTGACGGGCCCCACACCCTGCAGCTACAAAACAGTGGAGTCAAGATTCTCATCCAGGCAGTCTGACTCAAGTCCATATTCTTAATCATACAGTATCTCCATAAATATTATGCCACGAGAAAACTTTGTGCATTATTTTTTTGGAAACTGAGCTTGGTTCAGAGTGTAAGAAGTGGAAAAGACCGCATAGCATTTTGAAATGCTATTGTTTTCTAAGTAAAATTTTCCACACATAGTCAAATTATGGGAAATTGCCCATTTTAGGTTAAAAATGGTTGAATAGCTTCAGTTCTGCGTGGTTCAACTTCCTACAGTCTTGGAGAGCATTCTCTCCATTATTAGAAGTATCAGGGTTTTGTGGCTTTTTTTAATTCTTTTTTCCACATGGGAAACTGAAGTTACTATCTTGGTCGCCTCAACTCAAAAACTCACTGCTGTCCAGTCAGTCCCGACTCAGTGACCTCTCCTTGGGTTTCTGAGGCAGTATCTCTACGGAAGTAGATTGCCCAATCTTCCGACTGAGGAGTGGCTGGTGGGTTTGAACCTCCAACCTTCTGCTTAGTAGTCACATGCCTTAGGCACTAAGCCACCAGAGCTCCTTCTTAGTTGCCTAGGGCTGTCATGATAGAAAATACCACAAGTGAATGGCTTTGAAGAATAAAAATTGATTTCCTCACAGTTCTGGAGGCTAGCAGTCTGAATTTCGGGTGTGACATCAGCAAGTGTAGGCGCATTCTCTCAGCTGGCTCTGGGGAAAGCTCTTTGTCCCTTTCAGCTTCTGAAGCCCAGGGCATCGTTTGGTGTTCGTTGGCTGCTTGTAGGTGGATCTTCCCATGGACCCTATCTTTCCCGTATCTTCACATCTGGTTTTCCGTTTTTTTAAGACACTACTCACAAGCGATTAAGTTTAGGGCCCACCCTACTCTGGTATGATTTCATCAATCTACAGGGTCATATTGACAAGTTTAGAGTTAAAGACTTCAACTTACCTTTTTTGGGGACGTAGTTCAATCCGTAACAATAACTTTATGTCAAATGGAAAATCTTGGAAGAACTTAGAGACTACATTTCATTAAATAGAAGCATTCAACCCACTGCCATGAGTCAATTCCAACTCACAGCGCCCCTAAAAATAGGATAGAACTGCTCTGGAGGGTTTCCAAGGTTGTAAATCTTTAGTGAAGTAGACTGCATCAGCCTTCTTCCATGGAGCAGCTGGTGGGTTTGAACCACTGACCTTTTGGTTAGCAGCCAAATGCCTTAACCACTACACCACCAGAGCTCCTTACTGTACCACCAGAGTTTTTAAAATAGAAGCATAGAGGTTTATTATTTTACTGCAGATGTTTATCAACTATTTTCTGATGCTGGGCCCAGGTAACTAAAGGGCTCCTTTTAAAGACAAAAGGATACAATTTCACACTTTAGTATAAATGGGCCAAATACAAGTATTTTCTGCCTGAAGGAAGCTGAGCACATAAACGGGGTCTCAGTCTTTTGAATTCCTGGCTATAAAGTGACCTGTGACAACAAACAGGTCTCACTGGTGAAAAGGAGGTAGGCAGCCTTGACTGTGCTTTTGAGGTCACCAGCGAGGGGCAGGGCTCACGGCGCACAGAACCATCGCCTAAGACGTAGGCGGAAGCCCTGCACGCCTGGTCAGGCGGGGCTGAGCTTAGAATAATTCCCCTCTGTCCCTCAGATTCCAAGACTGAAGCTCAAGGCGCAAGCTCGGACGATCCCCACGGTAGTCACAGCGGCGCCTGGTGTGTATTCAGTCAGCCAGCCGGTGCTGTGCCCCGACGTCCCGCCGCCGAGTGAAAACGGAAACGGACGCCAGCCCACTCTGCTGGGGCATCCGGGGGTCCTCGCGCTCCTGCGCGTGCTCACTTTGTCCCGCTGCAGTAAATCTGTGACGGACGTTTACCAACTCACGGTCAACATTGTTTACAAGTGCCACTGCGTGACCACATTTACCTTCACTGCGCTCTTCAACCATTACCCGTCACGGTCAGAGAGTCCTCTAAGCCGCGGGATTGTTTTTAACCTTGCTGATCCGTGAAAAGGAAGCAGCTACGATTCTCAACGCTTCACAGCACGCGAAAACAATATCCTCTTTGCCGAGGTCTGGTCGACACCCCTGCTCTCGTCCTGTGGGTCCTGCAGCCTCGTCACGCAGTGCGGCCCACGCGAACCTGGGCCCAGGGAACCAAGGGGTTCAAGAGCCTCGGCGTGCTCCGGAAGCGGTTACACGGGAGCCTTCCGGTTGGCTTCCCGCTCCCTCGCGCCCCTAGCCCTGGCAAGTGCCTGGCGCATGCGCGTGTCCTACGGCGGCCGCACAGATTGCGGAAGCGTGAGGAGTGGGCGGAGCCGGGACTGCTAGTGTGCGCGCGGGATTTCCGGTTCTCGGTTTCCTGGTGGGTGCTGCGGACCGGCGAAAGGGTAGCCGCCGCCGCTGCCGCCGCCGCGGCCGGGAGACAGGGCCATGGAGAAGCTGCGACGGGTCTTGAGTGGCCAGGACGACGAGGAGCAGGGCCTCACCTCGCAGGTAGCGAACGTCCCTCTCTTCCCCTCGGGCTGCTGCAGCGGGCAGTCCCAGCGCCCGCCCCGCCTCCCGGCCGCCTGGGCTCGGCCTACCTTGTGGGGAACGTGTGTGTCGGTCTGGGAGTCAGCAGCCGGGAGGTTAGGGGCCTTATCGGCTGGGCCACGGGGTGAAGGCGGGCTGCACCGCCTCCTTGGAAGAGGAGGAGTTTTTATTTAGTTTTTTTGGAGTAAGCACTCTTCTCCATCCCTCGCCGTGGCCTCCGACCCCTTAGCCCCCTGCTTGTGCTGTCTCCCCTGTCCAAGCAAACGGCCCTTGTTCCCCACGTTGCTCTCCCCCAGCGGCCCTCTGAGCTCGGGCTGCGTCGTGCGGAAGCATGCGTTTTTGCCCGTCGGTAATCGTCCTGATCCTTACTGCTTGGTTGCGTCCGTTTCCGTCTGGAGATGGATGAGGTGCTGTGTATGTATTGGGAGGGGGGGAGGGGAGGGAACAAACAGGCCATTGAAGTGACGTGCTTAATGCCGAGTTGTCCGCTAGGGCAGTGAGCCCTGCTGATAGACTTACAGAAAAAAGAAAGCTGTCTCTGCTTTGCTCTGAGACATGAGACGGGCTACTTCCTCTTGTAACAGCGTTAAAAATAGAGGTCGAACAGGAACTGCTTTGAATGCATTTTTATTGTTTGTGTCGCACCCAATTCTTGTTTGTCATGGGAGTGGAACATTTAAACATTCAACGAACGTTGAAAACGTTGATTATCTTACGATCTTTTATTTGTTCCATTTCTTTTCCTTTGTTCTTTGTCATCACGTTTATCTATTTACTGCTTCTTGTGGGTAGAGTTTTGGGCAAGTCCGTGAGAATTGACACTAAAGACAAAAATCAGCTCTCGGTGAACTCTTAACTGCTTGGGCAAATCGCAATAGTAATACCCAAACCCAAACCAGATCCCTTGCTGCCACGTCAAATCCAACTCCTTGCAACCCCCCAGGACAGAGTAGAACATTCCCATTGGGTTTCCAAGGCCCTTTCCAGAAGGGAGTTGGCACATCCTCCTCTTGTGGAACCACTGGTTGGTTGGAACCACTGACCTTTCGTTTAGCAGCCAAGTGCTTAAGCACTGTACCACCAGGACTTCTAAATAGTGGGACAGGAACTCATCGGACTAACATCAGAAACGTTGGTGAGGCAGCGTGTGGCTTACCCCACTCATTTAAGGTTTATTGAACCACTGTTGTGTCCCACGTGATGCTGTATATCTGTGCTATTCGATAAGTAGCCATAGCCACGTGTGGCTATTTGAATTAATCAAAATTAAATACAATTTTAAAATTTAGTTCCTTAGTCTCACTAACCACATTTCAAGTTTTCAGTAGCCAGTTGAGTTAGTGGCCACTGTATTGGGCATTGGAGATGAGGAATGTTTTGACTGCCGGAAATTCTACTGGACAGTGTTGCTCAAAACCTTGGGGCCGTGAAGGTAATACTGTCACCCCTCTTGAGCTGAGTGTCTGGGGTGGTGCTAGACGTGTGGAGAAGTAGTTGATCCGGGATTGCAGTGACTTGTATGGAGAAGTGCTGTGGTACAGAGAAGGTGCTTGTTAATTCGTTTGACAGACACTGGGGTGCCTGCCTGTATTGGACATTATTCAAGATTCTGGTAACATTAACAGTGACTGCAATGAAGTCTTGCCCCTGTGGAGCTTACGTTTTACCTGGGGAAGTCACTAGTAAGTGTAGTACAATGCATCACTTAATATGGCCCTTCTGGGTGTAAATTTTGTAACTCCCACCAAATGACTGAGTGGGACTATGCAAATGAAGTGCTTGTAACCCACCAAGGGGATTGGATACAAAAAAAAAACCCCCTAAGCTCACTGTCATCAGGTTGATTCTGTCATAGTGACCCCCATTGGATTTCTGAGGCAGTAAATCTTTATGGAAGTAGGTTGCCCCATCTTCCTTCTGCAGAGCTGGTGGTGGGTTTGAACTGCCAACCTTTTGATTAGCAATCAGATGACTTAGTCAGTGTGCCACCCGAGCTCCTTAATTGGATTGGATAGCTTGCTGATAATGCAGACAAGGTACCTGGCCCCCTTGTGGGGGTGGGACCACGCAGATAAGGTGTGTAGAATTCTAAAGCGAGGATTGGCCAGTTTTGCCATCTACGAGGCTTAAAATGAGGCATCCCAGAGGCAGAGAGGGGGCTCCCTCGACCCTCAAGAAAGAACAGCCAGAAGTGGAGTGTGTCCTCTGGACCCGAGATCGCTGCACTGAGCTTCCTCTACCCAGGGGGGCGAGAGAGAGAGAGAGCGAGCTGTGACACTTGGGTGAGATGGCGAGAGACCGGCAGCAGAACCAGGAGACCAGCCCGGGACACAGGGACGCCTTTGCCCGCGGAGCGAGAAGACTGAGTGCTTGCGGGCAGCAGGTTTGCTGGCGGACTGAAGTGCTTCTCTGCACACCTATAGATAGAGCTGAAAGAGTTTTGTACACTTGCCAGAGCCAAGCAGATGCCAGTGGACCACCGGGCCAAGAGGCTGAGAGCGGGGCTGGAGAGAAGCGTGCCTGCGGCACGGCTGAGAAGAGGCTGTCCTGATTAAAGGACTGTATCCTCCGTTGTCGCTGATCCTGAGTTGTAACCTGTTACTTCCCTAGTATACCCCATAGTTGTGAGTATAGTCTGAGTCCTGTGTGGCCATTGCAGTGAATCATTGGACCCAACAGAAAAAGAGAGTCTGTAGGAGGGATGCTGGTGTCAGAAAGGGTGGAAAGATTGGCGGGTGGAGGTGCGTCTTCCCTCTGCCCCGTGGACTCGGCTTTGGGCTGACGCAGGTGGTGGCTCACTCTCCCGCTTGTGAACTTAGAGGTCAGACGTTGCCCCTGCACCGTTTTAACAACAGGTCAATTTATCTCATCAGGTGGTGATTAAGTGCAGTGGAAACAAATAGCATTGAGGAGGCTGGAATCGTCAGGTTGTTAGGCTGGTGAGGGAAGGCCTGCCCCCTGTGTGGGTGACACGTGAACGTAGACCCGAAGAGCCATCGAGTGTCTGGTGGGTCATGTGGATAAGTGTCTCCCAGGCAGAGGGAACAGCAGGAGTGAAGCCCTGCGAATGGAGCGTGCTCAGTGTGTGCAAGGGCAGTAAGGACGCCAGATGACTGGAGCGGAGAGGAGAACAGGGAGGGGTGTGGAAGAGGCCAGGCGGGAAGTGGGATTCCACATCCCGTAGAGTCTAGTGGTCTTATTACGGATTTTAGCCTTTACACCGAGTGAGATCGGAGACCACTGGGTTACAGGCAGAGGGATGTGAGTGACTGGGGTTTTCAAGGGTTTGCATGTCCTGCAGAGAACGGACAAGGTGGAAGCCTGGAGATTGGTTAGGGGGCCCTACAGAAGTCCCAGGAGGTGACTGTGGCTGGAATGGGGATAATAGAAATGATGGTGGTTAAAGAGGGGTGGGGTACTGTAAACAGTCCGAAAGACTGGTTGCTGATGGAGTGCATGTGTGAGAGCAAAAGGCATCCAGGGTGTCTCACTGGGCTCCAGCGCCTGGAGAGAGGGAGTTGCCATTAGCCACGCCGGAGAAGCGGGGGGAGGAACAGGTCGGGGGAGGAAGGTCGCCTCTGTTCTGGACGCCAGTCAGCATCGGAGCAGAGACGTCCAGGAGGCAGCTGGGCACAAGACTCTAGAGCTCTTGGGAGGAACGTTACAGGATAAGGTGCAGAGTCCGCCCTCTCCGTGTCACCAGGGATAACAGCCAGGGGCATGAGGAGAGCCAGTGAGGAAGGGGCACCTCGAGAAGGGGTCCTAGGGAGAAAGTGTTTCAGGAGAGGGGACTACTAGCTGGTGGTTGGTGCTGGAAGAACTGAGAAGTTACCGATACATTTGTCAGTGGATGTCACTGGTGACCTTGATAAGGGCAGTTTTGGTGGGTAGATGGGGACAGAAGCTGGATTAAGGAGGGTCAGTAGAGAATGGAAGAGGAAAATGGAGACAAGTATTGATACTCAGCAATCTTTGCTGTAGAGGAAAGTAATGGGTACTATTGGGAGGAAGAAGTGGGGTGAAGGAAGGTTTGTAAGATTATTTTTAACAGTGGGAAACAGATGTTTCTGTGCCCTGGGGAGAGGTCCAAGAAAGGCGGAAGTTGATACAGGCGAGGGAGTTCTTCGAGGGGCACGGAGAGTGCCATCTGGGGGTATAGGGAAGCAGTGGGGTTGGTGCAGAGTGGAGGGGCCGCCCTTAGGTAGGCACAACTGGGAGGAACGGCCGAGAACGGGCGTGCACGGCGCAGATGCAGAGGTGGTGGGGGAGCAGGAGTGGGGCCTTTTGATTCCTTGACTGCTCTCCGTGAGAAGAAATGAGGCCACCAGTGGGAAGCTGGGAGGGGGTGGGAGGCGGGGCAGGAGGGCAGCTGAAGAGGAGCAGGACTGAGGGCCCACCGAGGTTAATGCACACGTTCCAGGAGTCCGCGTGGTTCGGTGTTGTCTCCGGCCGCGTTCAGTAGCAGGGTACGGGTGCGGTGGTGGTGTCGTCAGTGGTGCTGACTTCAGCGGCCCCGTGGACAAGAGGGCAGAGCGCGGCCGGGCCCTGTGCCAGCCTCGCAGCCGTCGCTTGCTGGAGGCCACCGTCGCAGCCGCCGCTGTGTCGTCATCTTCTGGGGGAGCTTCCCCTTTGGCACTGACCCTCTGCCAAGGCTGATGTTTTTCCCAGGGACTGGTCCCTCCTGGTAGCATGTCCAAAGTACATGAGACGAGGTCTCACCATCCTCGCTTCTGAGGAGCATTCTGGCTGTACTTGATCCAAGACAGGTTGGTTGGCTTTTCTGGCAGTCCATCCCGTAACTCAAGCGCACCCGCTCTTCCTTGCTCTTCCTTATTCATCGTGCAGCTTTCACTTCCGGTGAGGTGGTGACATCCCGTGGATGGCGGCAGGCACACCTTAGTCCTCAAAGTGACATCTTTGCTTTTTAACCCAGTGAAGAGGTTTGTCCAATGGCATACATT